GGCCTGGGCCCCGGAGCCCCCCGACCCCCGCCTGGGCTGCCCAATCGTTACTCCTCTTCCGAACGCCCCGAGTCGCGCCCCCGCTTGTGTGTCTCCTGACCGTTTTCCCGGAGGCCGGGTTTCAGCCTGCGACGTCACGTTTGCTTCCACGTCGCGCTTGCCGGGCTGTGAGACTGCAGGGACCCCCCTGTGCAGGCAGCACCCCGCCGCAGGGCCTGCTGTGCCCCAGTGGCCCAAAGCGGACGGCACAGGCGAGATTCCCCAAGGCAGCGTGAGCAGCTTCTGCTCCCAGCAGGATCCCGGGGGAAAGCGAACGGGCCGTGAGCTCTGTGCTAGGCACCGAGGACGGTGTTCTGTAGATGCCTCGGCAGCCTGAATAGGTGAGAAGAGGCCTGCCCCGTGCCTGCCCCGTGCCTGCCCCCGGACAGCGCTCTGCAGCAGCGCCTCCATGTTTTGGTCACAGCTTGTGACCACACAAGGCCCCGGTGTCCGCTGGGCTCTGTCAGTCACCCACGGGCACCGTGTCTGCGTCCCTGCGCTCCTGGTGCACGGGGCCCTGGACTCCCTCTCCTCCTGCGCGGGCGCCAGCGTGAGGAGGAGCTCACGCTGCTCCCTGCCGGAGGGAGGACCCAGGCTCTTCTCCTCCCTCGGCTCCCAGCTTTCGTAACACAGGCCCTGCCGCTAACATACGTAGTAGTTTCAGAGCCAGGTACCAACCGCACAGTGTGAGGTGTCACAGGAGTTCCACACTCGACTTCCTTGGGAATGCCAGGTCTCCCACCACATCATCTCCACGGCATACTTGCTGTCCTCTTACCTTTGAGGTTTCCCCCCGAATTTCTTCCTTTAATTATGACAGCTGCCCAGAGACAGTAGGGTGGCCCTTCTCCCGTCCAGCTCCAGCAGCAGCGCCCAGGGCGGCACCTGGCCCTTTGGTACCAGCAGAAGGATCCATGCGTGAACGAGAGCCCTCGGCGACTCCTACTAGTTTTAGTAGAGAAGTTTGTGCGGTTAGGTTTGCATTTTTCTTTAAAGGAGAAGAGCGTGTTTAGATGTGTTGTGCTTTGCTTTGAATTCCAGATTTGGAGCCAGCACCTACAGATACGGATTCAGCTGTGGAAGAGAGCATTTCTAAAATGAATCTCCTTAGAGAGGATGCACATATCAGAAGCCAGTCCTGTCCAGCTAATGGGATGCACGAAAGTGAGTCTGAGAGTTCCCAGAGCTCGAGAGAGGAGAATCTCAGCCAGGACCAGGACGGAAATCTTAGCCAAAATGGAGACCCCAGCCAAGAGGAGAATCCCAGCCAGGAGGGCAGCTCCGGCCAAGAGGGCAGCTCCAGCCAAGAGGGGAGCTCCAGCCGAGCGAGGAACCCCAAGCAGGTGGCAGCCAAACCCCGTAAGCGACATCCAACTAGAGAGAGAACCTCGCCTCGATCCTACAAGGAGAGTGCCTACGAGTGCACGGAGTGCGGGAAGGTCTTCAGCCGCAGTTACCAGCTGAGCCAGCACCAGAAGATCCACACGGGCGAGAAGCCCTACGAGTGCAAGGAGTGCAAGAAGGCCTTCCGCTGGGGCAACCAGCTCACCCAGCACCAGAAGATCCACACCGGCGAGAAGCCCTACGAGTGTAAGGACTGCGGCAAGGCCTTCCGCTGGGGCTCCAGCCTGGTCATTCACAGGAGGATCCACACCGGGGAGAAGCCCTACGAGTGCAAAGACTGCGGCAAGGCCTTCCGGCGGGGCGACGAGCTCACCCAGCACCTGCGCTTTCACACCGGCGAGAAGGACTACGAGTGCAAGGACTGCGGCAAGACCTTCAGCCGCCTCTACAAGCTCATCCAGCACAAGAGGATCCACAGCGGCGACAAGCCCTACGAGTGCAAGGACTGTGGGAAGGCCTTCATCTGCAGCTCCAGCCTCATCCAGCACAAGAGGATCCACACCGGGGAGAAGCCCTTCGAGTGCCAGGAGTGTGGGAAGGCCTTCACGCGCGTCAACTATCTCACGCAGCACCAGAAGATCCACACGGGGGAGAAGCCCCACGAGTGCAAGGAGTGCGGCAAGGCCTTCCGCTGGGGCTCCAGCCTGGTGAAGCACGAGCGCATCCACACCGGGGAGAAGCCGTACAAGTGCACCGAGTGCGGCAAGGCCTTCAACTGCGGCTACCACCTCACCCAGCACGAGCGCATCCACACGGGCGAGACGCCCTACAAGTGCAAGGAGTGCGGGAAGGCCTTCATTTACGGGTCGAGCCTGGTGAAGCACGAGCGCATCCACACCGGGGAGAAGCCCCACGAGTGCAAGGACTGCGGGAAGGCCTTCAGCCACGGCCACCAGCTCACCCAGCACCAGAAGACGCACGCGGCGAAGCCTCACGTGTGTGAGGAGTGCGGGAAGGTGTGCAAGCACGCGAGCCACCTGAAGGGACACCTGAGGGTTCATAAGAGTTAGAGGCCTTCTGAAAACCAGGCAGGTACCGAAGCGTCTATCCTCCACTCATCCCTTCCTCACTGTGAGGAGGAGTCACGATTAATTTAACACAGAAAAGCCTTCCCTGGTCATTCTCACACTTACATCACCAGTAACATGAGAGGCACGTGCGACCGCGGAGAAGTTCCTTTTCTTTATGATCACAACATGTTCGTCCTGACATTTTTACCAGATTAGCTGGTTCAGTACATTATCGAAGCCCATCGGTACCATTCCATCTTTGGTTTTTTTCTCCATTCCATCCTTGTTACGTTTCAGGTTCATTCTAGGGAACAACTCAGCTAAATAATACAAGGGGAAGCCTTTAATCATGGCGCACACCCCACCAAGAATCAGCAGTATCCCGTCTCTTTGCTCCCTGTGAGACACGCCAGCATACTACCTGTTACCCTGTGCATCGCAGATGCACCTCAACATACGGTAGGGTTACGTCCCGATAAGCCCATCCTATGTTGGAAATTCCATTCGAAAATGCGCTTAATACACCTGACCGACCAAACATTGGAGGCTAGCCCCAGTCTACCTTAAAAGTGCTCAAAATTACTCCCGTTAGCCTAAATTGGGCAAAATCGTCTAAAAGCCTATTCAATGATCAAGTGCTGGATGTCTCGTGTAATTTATTGAACATTATGCTGAAAGTGAAAATTAGTGGCTATGTGGTTACGCTTTCGCACCATCGTGAGTTCAGAAATCACTGGTTGTGTGGGTCCGCTTTTGCACCATCCTCCAGTTCAGAAATCAGTGGCTGTGTGGTTACGCACGCACCATTGTAAAGTTCAAACATGAGTGGTTGTGTGGGTTCGCTTCCGCACCATCGTACAGTTCAGCAGTCAGCGGTTGTGTGGGTTGCTTCTGCACCATCCCACAGATCAGAAGTTAGTGGCCGTGTGGTTACACTCGCACCATCGTAAAGTTCAAATGTGGTTGTGTGGGTTCGCTTGTGCACCATCCTACAGGTCAGAAATCAGTGGCTCTGTGGTTATACTCGGCACCATCATAAAGTTCAAACTTGTGGTTGTGTGGGTTCGCTTCCGCACCATCGTAAAGTTTAGAAATCTGTGGTTGTGTGAGTTCGCTTCTGCGCCGTCCTACAGGCTAGAAATCAGTGGCTCTGTGGTTATTCTTGCATCATCGTAAAGTTCAAACGTGTGTGGTTGTGTGGGTTTGCTTCCGCACCATTGTAACGTTCAGAAGTCAGTGGTTGTGTGGGTTCGCTTCTGCACCATCCTACAGGTCAGAAATCAGTGGCCGCGTGGTTACACTCGCACCATCGTAAAGTTCAAACGTGTGGTCGTGTGGGTTCGCTTCCGCACCATCCTAAAGTTAAGTCAGTGGTTGTATTAGATCTGCTTTCGCACCATCGCAAAGATCAGAAATTAGTGGTTGTGTGGGTTCGCTTTTGCACCATCATAAAATTGAAAAATTGTAAGTTGAAATATCTGTAACTTGAAACCATCTGTATCTGTAAAGTGTTCGTTATGTGCACCGTCTGTACATAGGGATAATCAAATCTACCTAAGATTGCTGTTGTGGAAATTAAATATATGGTACGTGTAAACTCCTCGACACCGTATCTGGAATACTGTGTCAGGTCAGTAAATATTACCTATTGTTGTTCTTGTGACCACCATCTGTGTTACTCTTAGTGAGGTATTACCAGACCACCTGGGAGTGCAGTGGGTTTAGAAGAAGAACATCAGACTTCCAGGAGAAAGCATAGAGTACTGTCACTGTCTTTATCAGTCATGACTTACTGCACAAAAGAAACTGAACACAGAAGGTTACGTTAGACTTCATCGAAAGCACAAAGCATGTTGATGAAACGATGCGCCTGAGATAAACAGAAGGCAAGAAGTAGGCTGCAAGAGACGAGCATGTGCACCTAAGGACGGACCCATGGAGAAAGTGCAAGGAATCCCTCAAGTTACGACACAGCAGATACATTAGATGGCAGGAGAGTAAGCACTTCGCTGGGGAAGATCACCAGGTAGCCAGTAAGCAAGTGAACTGTGTTCAGCACCATTCCTCATCAAAGAAACGCAAAGTAAGACACAACGGGATGTCACTGGACAGTCACCAGAGCGGCAAAAATTAAAATCGTAACAAGAAAGTGTACTTCGTGTGTCTCACCACAAAAAAATCAGGTAAGAAAGAGAAGGATGTTGGTTCGATCCAGTCATTCCACATTGTATACATGTATTAAAATACATGGTGTTTCCATAAATGTAATATAACAAATAAATGTAATACAATTATTTGTCAATGGAAAGTATTAATAAATTTTTGAAATCACACTGGAGCTGGACTCTGTGGGATACTTAACAGGCCTCATTAGGAAGGAACTGGGCAGTAGACATCCACGGCAGGGACAGCACGGGAGGGCCAGCGCCAGAGGTAGAGCTCCAGTTGGCTGGGGGAACCAGTAAACCAAGAGGGGAACCTCAGTCACCTGAAAATGTGCCTAGAGTGAGGGTAGGAGCCAGGCATGGTGATGCACACCTGTCACCTTGGCTTTCTGGGAAGCAGGCGGAGGCAGGAGAATTGCAAGTTCAAGCCTAGCCTGAGCAACTCAGTGAGACCCTGTCTCAAAATAAAACAGATAAAATTGTCTGGAGAAGCCAGCCATGGTGGTGCTGAGGCCGGCGAATCACCCTGAGTTTGAGGCCAGCCTGAACTCATAGTGAGACCCCGTCCTAAAAATACATTTGAGGGCCAGGGAGATTCCTGGTACCAAAACAAAAAAGAATTAACTGTCAAAAATAAATCTGTTTTGTTTTGGCTGGAAACACAGTTCAGTGTGAACTGTGGGTTCAATCCCTAGTACTAGGGAAAAAAGGAATCATCACGGGAAAGCCTAGCACCCAGAGGAGGGATCTGAGATATGGGTGGGGAGCCCAGGGGACTCGGGCAGGGTGGGCTACTGGAATGGGGAAGGAATAGCAGGTGCTCAGAGCCATGTACTGTGACCAAAGAAAGGCAGGGTCCAGGAGGTAGGCTTTGCGGCAGCCTGCAAGACACCGGGACCATCCAAGCCCGTGGGAGACGAAGGACCAGACACTGTGACACCAGCGGGGACACCCCTCGGGCCAAGGGTGCAGGTAGGTGCCATGAGGTGGGCAGGCGCTTGTGCCGCTGAGCTGCATCCCCAGCTACTGGCAGGATTTCTGTCAGCCTTCTGGGCTTTGCCCAGAATCTCCCACACAAAACAGCCAAAAAGTGTTCCAGCTCTCTTTCAGGTGAAATCTCTGAAACTTTCCTATCTCTTCCCACAAGCCATTCCCAAAGGCTCTTGAACCACATGGTCAAGTATAGTCACAGCAACAACCCCACTTCCCTGGTACCAGTTTCTGTCCTGTTTACTTTTCTCTTGTTGCTGAGACAAAATACCTGACACCCAGAATTAAAGGGACAAAGGGTTTATTTAGCTCACAGTTTGTGGAGGTTTCAGTCCACACTCGGCTGGCTCCAAGGCAGAGTGGCACATGGCAGAGGGCAACAGTTCATGGCTGCAGAAAACAGCAAAAGCAGCAAGAGCAAAAAGGGAGGAGCAGGCAGGGGAGTGGCAGCAAGCAGCCTCTTTCCCTCCCTTACACTGTACACAGACCACCTGAGCACTCACACCCATAATCCCAGTTTGGGACCATGGATCATTCATGAACTCTAGAAGCCTGCCCCATTGGAGGGAAATCCAGACACAGACCGTAACATTGTGATTCACCGATGAAAGTGGTTTTATAAGAAGGACACTGAAAGGCAGGCTACGTGGCTGTCAGTTCACAACAGGTCACTGGGACCAACTTGCCCCAGGGACCTCCGCTCAAAAAGGCAGAGGTTGGGCTGAGGATTTAGCTCAGTGGCACAGCGCCTGCCTGGCAAGCACAAGGTCGTGAGTTCGATTCCCGGTACCAGAGAAAAACAAAACAAAACAAAAGGCAGAGGTATCTTTGATGAATGTGATCATTATGTACATCTAAAATGTACCAATGAAATCTGATTGAAAAAGGCAGCGGTAATAGCTCTTACTTGGACATTAATATTCGAAAAAGGCAGAAAGTTATACATCTATGCAGACTCTAAATATGCCGCTCTGGGGCTCCATGTCCAGGCAACAATATGGAAAGGAGAAGTTTGCTGACTAATAAGCAATCACCTATAAACACAAGCAGGGAATTCCACACCTCTCAGAAGTAGTCTATCTCCCCTAGGCAGGTTGTTGTTATTCATTGCTGGGGATCCCGAAGAGCCCTGTCTACACTCTCCTTGGAGCCTGAACTGCATAGCGAGAGAGACCCTGTCTCAAAAAGACAAAAATAAATAAACAAACAAACAACTGTCCTTGGGAAATCAAAACGCTGACAGGGAGGCGCGAAGGGGAGCCTTACGCAAGGCGTGCTGGTGCACGCCTCTAATCCCAGCACTCCGGAGGCTGAGGCAGGAGGATCATTGAGAGTTCGAGGCAGGCCTGGGCTACACAGGCCAAGCCAGAACTGCATATCGAGACCCTGTCTCAAAAAGCCCCCCCCCAAAAAAAAAAAAGGAAAAAGAAAAAGAAGGGGAGCCCTATAGCCCAAGACTCTCGCTGTACTTTCAGTTCTGGAAGAACCATTCCGGTCCTTCCTCAAAGCCCTTAGTGACGAGCTATAAAAGGGGCTCTAGGGGCTGGGGATTTAGCTCAGCGGCAAAGCGCCTGCCTGGCAAGCACAAGGTCGTGAGTTCGATTCCTGGTACCGGAAGAAAAACAAAACAAAAAAAGTGGGGGAGCTCTACATGCCAACGACAGTAAAGTTAGGTTCTTTCTCCCACTGAACAGGCAGCTCAGCGAGCACTGATGCTTCCCTCATTCTCCTGTAACAGTTTTTCTCTGCAACCCTGTCAGGGAGCAACACCCCCAGCTAGGCAGAGCGCACAGCCTGGGCAAGGAGGCGGGAGGAGATGCCGGAGCACGCGCAGAACAGATCCGCAGCCGCCGTGCGCGCGGACTTCTCGCGAGAACTCGAGCAGGCTTTCTTTCCATTGGCTGCCGGGACCTGCCGGCTGGGCGGTGTGTCCTGCTGCAGGGACGTCCACGTCGGGCTTTGGCCGCTGCGTCCCCTGCTGCGCGGCGGCCGCCCTCGCGCTGCAGCGAGCCCTTCTTTTCCTGTCTTATTGGGCCCAGACTCGATCCTGCAGAGCGTCTTTTCCCACCCTTAGTAAAGCGTTGCCACCCAGACAGAAGCTAGAGACCAGCTCCAGGGGACCCGAGCGCAGGGCGGGGCCGGCACGCAGGCGGATCCCTGGCCGCAGCGCGCAGGACCCCTCCAGGGTCCGCGGTCCCGCCGCCCTCCGGGCCAGTCCCCTGGGCAGCGTCTCGAAGGAGCGAAGCTGCGTCCTGTCCGCGGGCCGGCTCCCCACGCGCTAAGGAGAAAAAATACCATAAATAGGAAAAAATAGACAAATAATGTGTCTCCCGAAGGTGTGTCTGCTAGCATTTTTTTATTTCCATTTATTTGGGGGGATTGCATTTTTTTATTTTATTGGTACGTTTTAGATATATGTAGTGACAAGGCCGGGCGTGGTGACGCACACCTGTAATCCCAGCACTAGGGAGGCTGAGGCAGGAGGATCTTTGCCAGTTCAAGACCAGCCTGGGCTACA